AGGCAGTCCACGAGGACAATGCCGGCGCACGTGGAGGAGAGGTTCCACTGTTGTTGTCGTCTTGTACACACACTTCTTCGTCGCTACTGCCACTGCAGTCAGCGGAGGATGTTTCATCGTCGTCTGATGGAGGCACATAATTGTCTTCTTCGCTAAAATCGTCATCACTTTCCACGAAATCACGCGATGAGTTCCCATAAAAGGAGCGTGGCGCAAACGCTGCCATGCTTTTTCCAGCCAGCGAAATTCGAAGCGACCCGCGCTTCCGCCGCTTACGAGTGCTTCTGCCCTCTATGGAAAAAAACTCAAACTATTGAAACAATGAAGTGTTAAAGAAACATGCCGAGAGATGGCGCCACCAACCCAATCAAAAAGAACGGAGGAATAAGTTTAAACGAGAGCGGGAGTCGCGTGTCGGGCTGTGTTATTTGAGACCTTTCTCAAATCCTGTTCGGACTACGCGCCACCGTGGAGTACGTACAATATATGTTGTTTAATTGATGAGACTCGTTGAATTTCGTGTTGCGAGTGGGGAATACCCATGCAGTTTGGCTATTCTGTGTGGTAAAATATTTTTGACAAAAAAGTCCTTTGTAGATTGACACGGCTGAGTGTATGGTACCGTAAAAAATCAACATAAAATAAAACAAACATTCTAGTTGCATTTGTTCTGTCACGCATGGACTCACCTGAAATAGCTTTCATGTGTTTGCTTTTATTTTTAAAGGTAGTACAATGCTTTCTTAAAAATCCCGAGAATTTCTATTCGCCATAGAGCATAAAAGAAAAAAGAAAACGCGGTAATTTAGCCACCAGCAGCGTCTGGAATCGTGCCTACGCAGGCTGCCACAGCCCACTGACGAGAAAACCCACAGCCCAGCGCAGTCGGGCAACACTGACATACACTCTCAAAACCAGGCTTTAGATTGCTTCGTTCAAGACTGCCGCTGAAAAGGTGGGAGCGGATTTCCTATCCCACTTTTCCCTTCTGGTTGACTTTTTTCGGAAGAAGATCTTTGACTGCAGCACAGGCCTTTCCGCACTCCACCTATTCGCCTTCACAACTTGCCAGACAATATTGTCGCTCTGCGGGGACCTCCTGAGCGAGTTTCCAGCACTAACCTCTGCTCCTGACTAGAGCAAACCGGTCAAGCACGACGTTGTTCACTGCATTATCACCAGGGGTCAGCCCACATATGCCAAGTCCTGTCGATTTATGCCAGAGAAACTATGTATTGCTCAGCAAGAATTTCAGCATGTGATGGAGAGAGGCATTTCCCGCCCATCCTCCAGTAGCTAATCATGTCCCCTTCACCTCGTTCAGAAGAAACCGGGCTACTGGCGACCTTGTGGCGACTATCGCAACCTAAACTTAGTGACCTGCCTTGACTGATATCCCATACCCAACATCCAGGACTTCCCCATCAACCTTAAGGGATGCACAATACATTTTCAAAACTGGACCCACAGAAGGCGCACCACCAGATCTCCGTCGCTTCTGAGGACGTGGGAAAGACCACAATCGTCGCACTGTTTGGCCTCTTCTAGGTCACGAGAATGCCTTTCGGTTTTGCAAAACGTCGCACAAAGTTTCTAGCGCTTCGTCGACGTCATTCTCTGCGGACTACCATTACGTCAATGACTTCCTCATCACCAGCACCTCACCGGCAGGACATTTACGCCATCTGCGCCTGGTTTTTGTATGTTTCGCCGAGCAAGCCTTATCATCAATGCAGCGGAATATAAGTTCGGCGTTTTGTTGTTAGAGTTCCTGGGCCACTTCGTTGACGTCAGTGGCATACGCCCTCTCCCTGACAAGGTGAAAGCGATCACCGACTACCCACGTCCCGAATCGCTCTGCGAACTCCGCCATTTTCTGGGCCTTGTCAACTACTACCAGCGGTTTATTCCATTCTGCGCGACCATTCTGCAGCTTCTCAAAGCCCCCCTTCAAACTATCAAATCTGCATCATTTTCTCTGGGCTGGTCCGATGCTGCTGGTGTTGCCTTCACTACCACTACCATCTAAGAGCGTCTCGCATTCGCCATGCTCTTGGCTCAACCAGAACACGACGCCCCCACGGGCGTGTTGGTTGATGCCTCCGGCTTCGCAGTTGGAGGTATGCTGCAGCAGCGCATGAATGGCGAGTGGCATCCGCTCAGTTTCTTCTCTAAGAAACTGAGCTGAAACTCGTAAGATATCAAAGCCGACCGAACAACAATATAATACCTTCGGTTGGGAGCTTCTTGCAGCTTACCTCGCTGTGAAGCACCTCTGTTCCTTTCTGGAGGGACAAGCCTTCGTGATCTTCCCTGATCAGCAGCCTTTTACCAACGCATTCAGGTCGTCTAATGCCAGTTACTCTCCCATGACATAGTCTCTGCATCTCGCAGCCGTCTACTTCCCTAAGCCAGGCACAAGAGTCGTTTGTAACGTCGACCCTGTATTGGGACGTAAGTGGCCTCATCTTCCTCCGCCCCTACGTCGTCGGGTGTTCCAAGGCCTACATGGTCTCTCACAGCCAGAAATTCGCGGTTCACAACACCTCATTGCGGAACGATTTGTCTGGCCGGAAATGAACGCCAATATTTGCACCTGAGCCTGTGCGTGCCTTGCTTGTCAACGATGCAAGGTGTCATGTCATGTCGTACCACCAAGCCCTTGTCAAAATTTGCTGTTCCAGACTCGCTTTGCCACCATTCACGTGGACCTGATCGGACCCTTACCGTCATCCGAGAGATACTGATTATTGATGCAAAACTATGGATAAATTGACTATGGATACTGTCGATAGGTTTCCCAAAACTATCGATAGTGCCACAGAACTATCGATAGTCGACTATCGATAGTACATCGATAGTTTTCCGATTGTCAACTATCAATAATTTTACGATAGTTGACTATCGATAGTGCTATTGATAGTTTTTCGATAGTCGACTATCGATAGTACTATCGATAGTTTTGCACCACTATGGTAAGTGCTTAAGCTAGTTGGTGTCCCATTTGAAAAAAAAAAAATAAAGCGAGAAAAAGAGAAGAGGGATTGACGCAATCTACTAGTTTCGCAAAACTATCGATAGTAAACCGTCGACAGTACTATCGATAGGTTTACAATAGTCGACTATCGATAGTTTTTCTATGGTGGACTATCGATAGTACCGTACTATATCAATACTTTTTTTACTATCGATAGTCAGATTTTTAGCGACTATCGATAGTACTATCGATATTTTTGCACCACTAATAATGATACATTCTAACCGTCATCGCCAGGTTCACGCTCCAGCCAGAAGCCACTCCCATCGTTGACACCGCTGCCGAGACTGTCACGTCCACAATATTGTCTACTTGGATTGCTCGTTTCGGAGTTTCCACAGAGGTCATCGCAGATCGTGGACGACAGATTGAGCCAGTCCTCTCCCGACAATCGACAACTGTCCTCGGCATCGCACATCTCAACACTACGGCCTACCACCCGCAAACAAACGGCCTAGTCAAGTGCTTCCTTCAGCATCTAAAGACGTCTCTCGTGGCGCACGCTGACCCAGAACAATGAGTCACGTCCCTGCCGATCGTCCTCCTGGGCTTGCATTCCTGCCATAAAGGAAGACGTCGGTTGTGCCGCATCCCATCTGGTATGCTGTGCACCACTATGCCTTTCCGCTGAGTTGATTTCCCCCGCCACACCCTATGTTTCAAAACCAACCGCTGTTGTGCCCTACAGAGGACTTAACTCGCCTTTTTTCTGACATTCATGCAACACCTACTTGAGCACACCAGAACAAGACTCCCTTCTTCCACTGGGATCTCCATGACAGTCCATGTTTTCCCGCACGTCAACAGTGCCCGTCGTTTCCTTCAGGCACTCACACCGGTCCCCATCATTGTGCATGGCGAAAAGATATTCACAGTGGGTGTGAACGCTTGCAACACAATCGTGTCCACCGATTGACTCAAGCCAATATTTATCGAGACACTCGCGCCAGATCAGCCGCCTGCTTTTCCCTCCGTGCAGGCCACTACAAGCTGCATCTCGACCCCCAGCAAGACTTCAAAAATCGTGCACTGGGATGACTCCGTCTTCAAAGGGGAGAGCTATGTGGCGGTAGCCACAATGCTCGGACATCCAGAAAGAAGACGAGCATGGGGTACAGACAATACAATTGAGTTCCACTTGAAATTCGAAGCTGGTCAGGCCATCGTCCTCCTGCAGCCTCTACGAGTTAATACCCTGAAGGCGACACATACTGAATACATGTAGCGATTGTAGGAGTGTGGCAGATTTAGAAATAGACTTTTCATTATAAGCTCGACCCCAGATTCCAACTAAGCATTCTTAATCCTAAATTTAGACTGAACGAAAATGTATTGCCAGATGCACGAATCGCTGAAGGTAACTCTGTCAAATGGCCACGACATTTCAAGATCCCTCCTCAAAATCGTTCGGGAAAAAAATTAATATTTTTTTTTCCGGTTAATATTGGTTACCGGTAAATAATTTATGGTTGCAGTTTTCATAAATTTCAAAAAACGGTTTCATTTCGGTTATGGTTACAGGTTTTCGGTTATGGTTACGGTTTAAGTCCCTAGTCCAAACATGCAATCACCCTTTTTTTTAAGCTTAGTTAAGGATTTTTCTCATTCATATCAGTGTGGTGGGAAATGTGCATGTGGGGTGCTAACTTAAGTGGTAAAATTCAAGCGTTGCAAAATCCTAAAATCGAGGAAAGGGTGTGTACCCACGCTATTCAGCGTGGGTACACACTGAATAGTCTTGCAATTTGTCTTTTTTTCAGCATTTCTTCAGTCGTAGATTTTTACAGTGCTGAGAATTCAGCAGCTCGCTCGAGTCTTCTGGTGTCATCTCGTAAACATTTATTCTCTCTGTCTCTCTCTCCACAGTAAAACTGAGTGTTTGACTTCCACCCAAACAACTGAATGGGTACACTGTGTGGCTCCGTGTACCCACGCATTTACATTATCTGCTGTATATTTCCAGCCCTACGAAGTCCAGAGCAAGGTTTTGACCAAGGAGTACCTGGACGAGATTGACAGGCTTTACAAGCAAAGCTACCTGCGTTCCATACGGTGAGTGGAAATGGGGAAAGTGCAGCCAGTTGTCCAAACAGGGCTTTGGGTCTCACTGCACTCTTCCACGACAGGGACAACAGTGAGCTGCTTCTCTATGACTGGACCACCATTGGGGAGTTCGAACTGGTGGGTTCCGTCGTTCACGGTTGCCCGTATCATTTGGTCAATGCTAATTTCCATTCTGCATTCCATGGTAGATACTAGAATTTACTTATTCAGTAGTATTATGTTGCTGTTTGTTTTTCTTTTGAAAATTAATAAATTTTTGTTTGTCGGTCAAAGTTCTTTTTGTCCGGAAACACAGGAGGGAATTAGAGACAAAAAGCTGTCAATAGCAACTACATGGATAGCTGCTTTGATGAGAGATTAGCAGAAAAAGAAAAACGTGAAACTGAATATCCAAGGAACTAATAAGAGTATGAAAAAGTCTCTCTTGCTGATTGTCTATCTGTCTAGGTTGTTTGTAAGACATTTATTGCTGGTACATCGTGGTACATTGCTAATATATTGTGGTACCTTCTGATGTAGGAATTGAAAATTATGAGATCAACAGATGACCCATGCCACTGTGATGTCTGTGTTAATAATACTTTCCTGCCTCGTAAGTTCAGAGATAAGGTATAAAAAAAGATCTATGAATGGTGAGATGAAGTATGAATGAAATAAAGCAAAACGTTGCTTGTACATGCATTCTGTAGGGCAGTGTTTCCCAAACTGTAAGCTGCGACAGATTCAACAAGGGGTCGTGAAGAGTCTCGTGAACTTTAAAAAAATGCGAGCTTGGCTTCTCTGCGCTGGCATCGATGAAAACGAAGTACAGCTCGCAGCTTAACGTTAAACTGGAAATGACAGTTGTGGTTTCCAAACTGCACCCTTGTTTTAAAAAAAAACTGCTCTAGGAAACAAACCCACTTTAGTGGTTATGAACAGTCATTCTTGCTAGCGTAATTGTTTTTTGTTTCTTTCACTATGGTTCTATGCTTAGCTGATTTGCCCAGACTGTTAACTGTCAGATTAACTTTCATCAACAATTTTGTGTATTACTGTTCATGCACTGAAATGAAAAGCTTATGACATTGCAAAAAGCCCCGATGGGGGTGGGTCGCGACACAATATCTTATATTTTTCTTGGGTTCCAGTGTAGCAAAGTTTGGGAAACAGTGCTGTAGAAGGTATTTGGTGTTTTGAGAATAAAAGTTGTGTGTGGTTAAGTTTATGAAACATCTGCCATACTATGTAAAATTTTATTTTGCACTAATGTGTTCAAGGTTGGATATGTAGTGACAGTAATTTAAAAGGGACAGAAATTATCCATGATCATTTTTTAACTTAATACTGAGTTGTGAAACAATATGACTGAGTAAGGATATTAACAACTTGAGAAGTTTTAGCAAGAAAATAGTTTAGAGTAATCTCGCGTAAGGATTTATGCTGGTTAACCGATTCCCTTGGCAAACCACCAAGTCTGATTGTATTTTTTGTCAGCCTTGGTCTATTTGTAGGTCAGAATAAAATTGCTGTGAACTTGATTGTATTTAATTTATGGCCATTAATGTCTGATCACATAGTAGAGAAATTGCTTAGAATAGAGTTGGTTTCTGTATCAGTACGGTATCAGTATTGCCCACAGTGGGAAACAAGCGAGTGGCATTTGCATAGATAATGACCTGCACTTTGTTGTCAGTGCTATCATGGAAGCTACTTAGTCATAGCCCAGGTTGTTTTCTGATACTAGGAAGGACATCTTAAAGGAGCTTTGCAACGATTTTAACGTTGAAAGAATTGGCATCTTCTACTTTTTACATTGTTTATCTTGCCACAAAGGACAGAAAACACACCTCCTTCCTTTGAAATGTTGCAATCGCCGCGTAATCGCGAGCCAAAAATGAGAATATTCCCCAACCTGCAGCTGCGAGCGGCGGTCATGAGAACTACGCGGCATGATGTCAATGGGGGTCTTGTAGAAAGATAGAAAGTTTTGCGAATACCTGCTCGATAAAAGGTTATTTTTCTATAAATTTTGTCGTTCCAACATAAATATAAATGCATCAAAAACCTAGTATCATCAACAAAGCTTTTATTATACGGAGTTTTAGTGGCGCCATCTATCCTAGGTTCACAAACCGTCAGCTCTATCTGCTACCGTGAACAGCTGCCAGAAGCCGGAGGGGTACGAGGGCAGAGCCGGATGCGGATGGCCGGACCCGGATCAGGCTTTCTTCCTATCACCATATTGTTTGCGCTGCGCAAGCACATGGTCACGCGGTCACGAGTGGATGAGTTCTTGCTGCTTACTGATGGCTCTAGAGAGAGAGCTTCACCGGAACCCCGCGCGTCCCCCATTGACGTCACAGCGCACGTGACTCGGAAGATGGTGAAGGAGTTGAGAGGTACCGAAAACCTCAATCTTTGTCTATTTTTAAAATAAAAACTAGGACATGCAGGCAAAAGCGTTTTTTTGTTCTTTACTTGAGAAAGGTAGGGACACCAACTCCCAAATTATTTAAGCAAAGCACTGAAATTTTTGCACAGCTCCTTTAAAGAATGTAATTCAGAGGTTGGGTACAATCCCATAAGTATTGGAGGTTCATTCAAGAGGCATTTAGATGCTAGGGAAGGACCTCTTGTTCTTGATACAGCATTGTAAATAAGAACATTGTGTTAACAGTGTGAATAAGAAAGAGAAATGGAGCCGACTGGATTTGCGTTTATCGGAAACTATATTTCCTGTATGTCAGTTTTGCCCTCAGAATCATTAAAAAAAGGCAAGCAGTTCTGGAAATATGTGGTACACTTCATGTGATCAAGTGACTTGGCAATTCGGACCTTGACAAGTTCAGATTTCAACTTTTAAGGCCACAATCTCATGGCTTTGGAAAGTGCCTAACACGTTTGCATTGCAAAGTCACATGCTAAAAGGGCAAGTAGTTTGTGCTCAAATGGTATGCGGCACTGCTACTCCCCTTGTTCGTTAAGCCCACTAGCTTCTTCCAAAGATAAAAAGAAAATAGTAGCAAGTAGTGGAGTTTGCAAATTGAAACATCTTTTCCTGTGTACTTTCACGGACATTATGAACTGAACTGAAATAGTCCTCTATGCTTCTTTTGCCTGCCAGCCAGTTTTCAAGAGAAATCTGTGGTCCAAACAAAGAATTTGCGAAGTTGAGATTGCATACTTCAGACTCTCTGATAAATTGAGAGATAACAGAGCTTGTCGGGAGTGCAGAGGCAGAAAAAGGCTGGATGCGGCGTTTTAGCTTATATTGTCTGTGGAGGTACCATGCAACTGAAGTACTACAACTAATGAAATTATGGAAGTTCTGAAATGACCTTGACCAAAAGCCCAAGGCCAGAACTACAAAATGAAATTATGGAAGTTCTGAAATGACCTTGACCAAAACCCCAAGGCCAGAAGAGCAGAAAAACAAAGTCTTTAAGGCTGTGTTCTGCTATCACTAGTTTTTTTTGTTTTGTTTCTTTTTCAGTCATAAATTTTTATACCCCTCACAGAAGTGTAGTTAAAGTCTTACATGCTCATTTATTCGGTCTAAGATTCTCTTGGCAAAACATGCTTCATCTCCATTTTCTGAAATGTAACAAACGCAAACTTTAGGGGTCTGGCCGCATATGCCTAACATAATTATATCTTCCCCAAACCTCTAAAAAGGTGGTAGACGACATTGAGCGAATCAACTTTGAAGCTCTTATGGATGACCCTTACGGCCCCATGCTGAAGGACTGGAAGAAGAGGGAAGATGACTGGAGCCAGTACCGATACGAGTGAGTTGATGCACCGTTCCTAGGCCAAGTTCTAGTGGACCATGTCGACGCCTATAAGTCCTCGGTGATGCCATAAAATATTCGGTAGGGCTTCTCTGCAAACCTCTATACTTGGTTTCATAGCTTCCTCGGTGGCTTTGAGGCAAAGCGTCGGCCTGCGGGTCCTCACGTGGCAGGTTTGAGTCCTGGCCCAGGGTCTGCAATCTGATGGAGGCCTATGTTGTGGAGAAAAACTATGATTTCGGTTGCAGGTCAAAAGATTCCCCAGGTGGTTTAAATTAATCCCCAGGCCTCCGCTGAGGTGTGCCGGATGCCCTTCGTTGGTTTGGCACATAAAACCCTCAATTTTGGCTTTGTTTCGGGATAACTTGGCAAAGGCAAAAACCTAGGTCCCATGTGTGCCAATCGGAGCAATGGGGCAAAGCATGCAGCGTCCCTACAGAGAAAAGAATTTGAACGGTCCGTCGTCACGTGCCTTACACCGATGCGGGTTGGCTTCCACGAGACCTAGCATTTTCCCTTTGGCAAGTTATGCTGGAACGGAGTATGAATCTTTCTCCCGATGAACTTTTTACACTGGCAATGATCAGACAGCAATTAGGTTGAGTGTCAGCTGGAATCGGGAATGATGATCAGCCGCCGATCATCGTTTGGCCATGACTCTTGCCTCGCAAGCATTTTAAGTGGCATTCAGCCACGTGCTGTTGGGCCGAGCGGTAAATTGGCTCGTGATGCACACTACGCATTGCACTTGGCTTGTGCCGGTTCGCTGCCCGTGGCATTTTAAAAAGGAAATGTTATTTGAAAGGCCCATGTGTCAGGAGTATTGGATTGTGCTGTGACCTTACAAGCTTTCTCTTTGCCGATTTTGTAACTTAAAGGGTTGCTGAACCGAAATGTGGATTCCCCAAAACACGCGGCAGAAGCGTGCAACGGGATGCTACAAACACCAAAACATCACTCATACACCGATATCTCCAACGGATGACCGTATTTTTAAAAAAAAAGAGGCGCATTTGGCAGGAATGTTGACGTCCTATTTCTCCGAGAAGGAGAGGGAACGGCCTCGCGTCTTTTCCTCCTCGCGGCCTTGAGGGAGCGAAGCGAAGAGAGGAGGAAACTAGGTATCATGACGTCACGCGCCTCGTCGGCCTGGTTCAATCTCGACTTCGTTTTCCAAAACTACGGCCGTCCATTTGAGATATTGCCTTACTAGTAATGTTGTAGGGATTGTAGCGTTCCACCTACATCTCCAGCATTGTTTTTTTTTAATCCAAATTTCGGTTCATCATCCCTTTAACGAAAATGAAGGCTTGGAAGCAGTGTTTATCATTTTCCAGAAAGTTGGCTTTCCTGGCATCACATTCCACAATGTTGTAAAAGAAAGTGTTGGCAGTGTTTCCTCATCAATAGTGAAGTTCAGTCTCCTTGCAGCTACAAAGTGTGGAAGAGCAGCGCTTGTACTTGTGCTTTGCAATGATGTTGCACACCGTATTTACCCGAACGTAGGTAGGGTAACCCCAAGTAATAATTCTAAAAATATTTATTTTATGTGTCCATAATCAACCATATAGATCTTCCCTTTGGTGTGCACAGATAAATAGAAAAATGCACGCACACAAGCAAAGGAGGATACGCTTCGCACAAAAGATCAACACTTCGCACAAAAGATCAGTTGCTATTAGGCATTCTAAGTTCCTGCGGGAAACAGATTATTGAATAGGTCTAAGCTACATGATGTTTTTTTTAATGAAGTACGTACTTTCCTATTAAATATGGAAAAAATGTTTGAATAAAAACCTTGGCATCGCTTATCACCTGAGCTGTGGGCGCATGCGCAACGTCTGGTATTCCGCACAACAGAGCAACAGTGCTTGCTTGGAAGGCATTCCACAGCCCAGCAGACAAAAATGGCAGCGCGCAGAAGGCGATTTTTGCAAAGGTCTGTAGGTTGCCCTTCATTTTTAAGGAAGTGGAAAGGAAGGAATTTTGTATGGACATCCCTTGTCACAGCATCCCTTGTCACTAGAGGAGGAGGAGGAGGAGGGAGGGGAGGGGGGGGGCAGCATCTCGGTTAGCTTGAAGGAATTACAAAGTTTGCTCGCTATTATAGGTCGATCTCCTTGACCATGATAATAGGTTGTGCCCTAATTTTAGTCCAAAGTGCAGAAAAAATAAAATGTAGACTGTTGTTTGCTTGTGTGAACCCAATGGATCTGACTCGCACATCAACTACACCGCAAAAATGGGCTTCTCGACATATCCGCTGCAATCGAATATGAAGGTTCCCATAGGGTTTGCATTTGGTGTATCAGTATCTCGAAGCATGAAAGTGCCCGAGTAAAAAGTCAGAAATTAAGAATGCTTTTTCTCTACCTACGGCACGCATCTGCAAGCACCACATGTCTGATTGGTGCAACAGCCGACAGATGGAGCAGCAGCTGTCCCCTGCAGCCTTTTCTTGCAGAAGTTCTGCCTCGCTGAAAGCAGATGTGTTCTTTCAAGTAAACCTTGGCACACACTATGTTGGTATTAGTTGTCAGTACATAAGTGCCCGCAATATGACGGAGGCTTATTGCGGAGAAGGCGCCGTGTAACCGTGCTTTCGGTTGCACATCAAAAGATCCCCAGGTGGTCGAAATTAATCCTCAGTTCTCCGCTGGGGCGTGCCAGATGCCCGTCGTTGGTTTGGCACGTAAAACACCCAAATTTGACTTTTTTGACTTTGTCAGTACATAATTTGGTCATTCTTACTCATAATACGCATTGAATGGACACAACAAATCTAGAGGTGTGCAAATAGCGAAATTTTAATTTGGATCGACTTCGAATAGAATAGTGGCGAACGGTGGCGAAAAAGTTGACTGTAGAATCGAATACAAACTAAAAATTCTAATCACAATGTTTGCGAGGTAAAAAAAAGAAAAGCCATATAGATGAGAAAAAAGGCCTGCATGTTTATTTTTCTCCTGCAGGAAACACAGAATAAATAGAGACCACAACAAATAAAAGCAGGATTATAAACAATTAAAACAACAAACATGAGACAGCTGACAGACGTGTCCACCCATTAACGTGTTGATACGCAACTTGCTGAACCTTTTATCGACAACTGGCACCGCCCGCACTTTTGAAAAAGATCTGTGAGTTGACTTTTTTTTTTGCAAAACACAGAGGCAGCCAGTCATAGCGAAAAATTCCAGCGAATGACGATCCTCGGAATATGTTTTGGCCTCCTGACAGAGGCGATGTGCGCAGGGACATTGGGCGCTTACTCATTGTACCTTTCAGATCTGATCGTATTGTGGGGTTTGTCATTTGCTAGGATACTTCTATTGTTTGCCAATGTTGACTGCCTTCGTGTTCTGCAGGAAGGTCAACTCACAGACCTTTGTTAGAGTGCGGCCCTGACACTTTGCTCGACGCCGAGGGAAGTGACGACAAGTTAGCGCAAGAAGTCGGTTTAAATGTCACTGCTATTTGTATTTTCATATTTTTTTTACATTAGGGTGGTAACAACCAAGAATAGGTTTATAGAGCACAAAGCATGCTGCATGTAATGCAAGATCCTTGAATTTAAAATGGCGACAAGTGTGGTTTACATGTTTTCTTTGAGCGCACCCAAAAAGCTGGGAGTATGACTCCTTCGTTCGAGGAACGCAAGAAACAAACTGGTTTCTGTCAAAATTGTTTGTTAGTCAAGGCTTCTGGATGTTGGCTTGATTTAAATCCGACGCAGGCTTGTGATGACTGGTATTTTACGATATGGACAACGTTCCTGAATAGACCAGATTTTGTGCCAACTGAACTCATTTTCGATGTATCGAATTATTAGAAAACTCAAATACTAGGTATTTAAAATTGGAATAGATTTATTCGTACAATCGTTATTCAACCCCAATTTGAATCTCGTATATTTGTACACTCTTACTCAAAACCAGTGGAAAAAAATAGTTTGTCCAGTTATTTTGGCCATGCAGATGACCTTTGTAAATTGCTGCCGTGATCAGTTGGCTGTTGCACCAATCAGACGTGTGCCATTTGCAGATGGACACCTTAAGGTAGAGAAAAAGCATTATTATTTTCTTACCTTTTGCTCAGCTGAGTTCATCCTTTGAAATTTTTACACACAACATGCACCACCTACAGGCACCTCTGTGCTAAATTGTAACGTGATACCTTGAGAAACCGATTCTTGCGGGGTGTTTCAGGTGCATTAGATTCATTGGCTCTACACAGTAGTAGTTTGTAGAGTGCGTGTCTAAGTATACGGGAAAACCTGCATTGAGTTCCACTTTCAACACACAATTCGGTTGTAGAAATGCTGTTGCTGCCAGATTCATGATGTAATGCTTTTACCGCTTGGAGATTTCTATATACTGGTTGTTTCTCTGAAACGTTTCCTATGAAGGCTGTGCACCACAGGGAAAAACAATTGTTGCCATATTAGTCACTGCTGAGGGACGAATTCTGTTAGGTACATAGCTCTTCGGATAATTACGTCCTGAAAGGCCAACGAACAAGTGGGAAGGGGGACACCACTCCTTGACTTCTCCTTTCCCTCTCAGAAAGGAGATAACTTCTCCTTTCTGCTGCTTTTGGGTGAGGAGGGGGAGGAATAAAGAGAAGGACTTTGGAGAAGGGTTTTCTGCCTGGAAGAAAGGTCTCCTTGCGCGTCGGCCTTTAATTAGTTTTGCATAGTTAACTTTCTGGAAGTGACCATGGGGTTCTAATGAGAAACTTGACGAACATCATCAAAGAGCATTAAACCAGTATCGTTTCGAGATTTGGAGTGCTTGGAAAGCATGGTGGCATGTTGGCAAAAGTCACCACCTGTGCTACAGGTGCAAAGATGACGGAGCTAGAAAAACAGGAGCCATGTTGACATGTCGAAGTCGGTTGCCTTTTTGGATCCAAAACAATGAAGCAAGCGCTCCTGAGTTTGATAAAATTGACTCATTTTGTGGTTTTTCTGAAGCTCATCAAGTTTATAATTCGAACTACCTGTTTATTTCCACTAATTAAAAATTTAATGATCCGAATATAATTAAAATCTTAATTGTTCTATGCGCCATGTACAGCCTATGGCAATATGAGCTGGCCCAGACTTGTGCTATCCTAAAGGCGTAAACTGCCGCATGGGGTGCCTCTGGCATGCGAGGCTATAAAACTGACTGCCACATTGCAACAATAGGAAATGTCACCCTTCATTCTAACCTCTTTTTTAACAGTTCAACGTTCTCCCCGCACGGCTTTTGTGCCGCCCCAGCTGGGAAGCCGCTGGGCCAGCGGCTTCCCAGCCGGTGGCCCAGAACGACAGGTGGTGCTACCGAACCTTGCTGAGTATGGTCCAACGACGGACAGCATTTGTCAGCCACTTGTAAGCGGTGGGTTTCCGTGTGGACCAGCGGGACTGGCCTACCAGTCCCGCTCGTCCACACGGGAGCCTATTGCTTGCGAGTGGATTACAAGCGCCGTCCATCGTATAACCGTATTCATCAAGGTTCGGTAGCGCCATCTGTCGTTCTGTGCCAAAGGTAAGTGTCAGGAAGCTCTATCACTTTTTTAATATGCAAATCGGCCGTGCATGAATGTAATTTTGGGTTTTTTAGGATGCTTAGAGCTCATGGAGTGGGTTATGACTAGGGTGTATACTTTCCGGTGTTTATTTATTTCACCAACACCGCTGCTTTTCGGTGAGTTCTCTCGTCCAGACGATAAAAACAGTTATTATCGGGGGGAAAATTGGGAATGTAAGCTACCACTGGAGACGAAAAGCAGTCCAAATTTTATTTACATATTTTACACAATCTCTTTCACACTCAATTATTGTAGCATATGCAAGCACACAATCCTAGGCTCGTGTCTGTCAAGGATGCTCGCTCCTTCCTGTTGACGACGCACAATTTCGAGAATGCCCGCTCAAGATTTGCGCTAGACACGGGAAGCCCCAAAATGTGCAACGATGCTTGGGACAGTACTGGCCAGCTGTGATTGGCCTCTCGGGCCGCTGATAGGGATCTTGAAGCTCGGCGGCCCAGGAGCTGACCGCTGACCTTGGAGAGCAGTGGAACAAATCTACTGTCCTCCAAGAGTCCAAGACCATGTAGGTCACAAACGAAAGACAGGCAAGGTGCGTGATTCCTGGTAAGGGAATGTGTTTGACGGAAGTTTGTGTATGACTTTTTCAGTGAAAAAAACAAAACATTAGTAGAAAGAAAACATTTAAAAACCGGTGTTATTTTTTTGTTTTGTTTTTTTACGATTTTTATTTTCGTCACTGGTGAATGTTTATTGATGTTTTTCGATTAAAATTGGATAGTATACAGGACTTTTTCAATGAAAAAAAACAGTGCTTGCTCAGAAATATGAAAGAACCGGTGTTTTTCGCTTTTAACCGATTTTGTATTTTCGACACCGGCGGATGTTTATCTGTGTTTTTCGGGTGAAACCGGAGAGTATACAGCATAGTTAATTCCATAAAACGAGGATCTGAAAAACCACTTTAGCGCCCCTTAAATATATCATTTGATTCTTTGGAAAGAATATTGATACTGGCTTCTGCTTGCGCTTATATCGCGATCGTAATATATGTATGTGGGCTTATCAATGCAGTTTTGCTGTGCCAACCATACTAATACATCAGTCCAAAGTCACATACTCACTTTTTTTTTGTAAAAAGAGCTGTTTATAGGGGGTTGCGATTCATACAACGATGGAACTTGTAGACCAGAAAATATGGTAGCTGGTTCGTGTCTAAAACCTACCGAGCAAGTCCAACTGGAACGATGTAATGAGGCAGCACTGCACTTTTAGCTGCACGCTTGCGCGCACCGAAGACGTCTGTTGACTAACCTCTGGCCTTTCTCAATCTGATCCTTTAGCCTCACCGCAAACAAGCACACCGTCATGTGCACATGTCTTGTACCTTACTTCGATGCCCCCGAGCTGCTGGTCTCCGGAGAAGATCAGGAGACCTACCACCTTCTCCTCAAAAAGGTAAGCAGGGACTCTCTCTGGAGCCAGCAGACTACAACTACAGTCGAATCTCGTTAATTCAAACTTTAGGGGGACCAAAAATCTGTTTGAATAAAGCAAAGTTTGAATTACCAGGAGTTTCCTCCCATAGAGATTGATAGGATGGGACCTACATGTTAGTTTGAATTATCCACAAGTTTGAATTAAGAGAGTTTGAATTAATGAGAGTCAACTGTACTAAGTGCTCGAAACGAGAGCTGCATCGCAAAGGACAGTCCAAGATGGTTGGCTGAAGGGCAGTTTGCAGTCATAATCTGAGATAATAATTATAAACTGCATCTGAAAACTAATGCCCCCCCACCCCCCCTTCGAAAAAAAAAAAAAAGTTTCCAGCGATGCAGTAAAGTGTCATATACAATAAAATATGGAGCAAAGCACCTGCCCAACATTTGGAGATAATCTCGAATAATAGGGGGACAGGCACTAGTTAGGCTCAAGGATAAAGAAATGCGGAAGGGGCACATGGGATAGGGCAGGCTTCACCACCTTGCTCCGGCGTGCTCGGAGGAGCGGCCGATGAGGTTAGCCATAGTCGGTGACAAGTTCAGAGTGCATGGCAAGCTCCTCCTGCAAAGCCTCCTCTCTTTCCACTTGAGCGGATCAAGCAGTGGAGAACAGGTGAAGAATGACTCACCTCATTTGCTCTGCCAGAGTGGGAAGAAAGCAGGGCTTTAAGGAAGGAGCTTAACCTGTGACCGACCACACGGGTAGGAACTGAGGGAGAGGAGGAGACGAGAGCACATGGGGACACCGAGTTCTGGTTGGAATGTTTGGTGGGTAGATGCGAGGCTAGGTGCCTTTGTCTGGCCTTTGCCTAACAGCAGAGTCTGGTGCTGGGCATTCACTTTTAAACAGTGAGTAGAAACAAGGGCAGCTAGATTTGCATTTACCCACTGTTTGGATGGCCGCTTGGTATGTCCTTTTCAAAAGTATGAGGTGGGCGCTTACTGCGACATGGGTGCTTGCCCGATATTTTACGCTAGCGTGTGCAAGGTGTCTCTGACGGCTATTCATGCGTAAAAAAAGGGTCGTATAAACGAGCCAGTGAACAGAGTGCAATTAAACATTTCGCCAAGCTGTCCTAGGCAGTGCATTTATTATAATCAAATTTCACGCGTGTATGTTACTGTAGAACAATTTATGCCAGAAAAATCCTGGCGTTCCTATGTGCGGAAGAAAGACTAAAAATAGGCGTCCGGTTCACTCTGCTACTCGCAGATGGCACCGCACGTAACAAAAGCGCTTCTTTGAGACGGTTGAACGCGTTCAAGTGCAAAAGCCTAGCATCAGACACTGGCGTTCCACCTTCTAACATGTTCGACAAGTGGAGATAAAGGCAGCTAGCTTTACGCCCATCCACTAATCATTCCAACCAGAGCTCGGCATTTGGACGTCCCCGCGCACTCTCCTCTCCTCCTCCTCCTCCCTCACTTTTTGCCCGCATTGCGTTGCCCTCCTTCGCGAACATTTCCCACGCCTTGAACGTGCACGTGCAGCCAGAGCATGTGTCGGAATGCAACGAGTGCGTGCTGGAGGCTAGGCATTCGAAAGAGACGCCGTCCTCACTTTGACAGTGGCTGTAGCCAATAGCCCATTGTCCCGGATCATGCGGATGACCATCCAAGCGGACAAACTTGCACGCCATACGGCTAGACCACGGAAAGTTTGTAGCAGGTCTGAAGCGTTGCATTAAAACATGGGTTTGGGCTAGTTAGTCCATTACTGAATAAAAGGTTAAAAAGCGCAAACAAACGGGGACAGTAAAGAAACACAAACGACAAGACAGGCGCTTCTGTCGCCTGTACCGTCGTTTGTGTTTCCTTATTGTCCCCGTTTGTTCACGCTTTGTAACCTTTTATTCTGAAGAGTTGCTTTCAGTTACGGCATGCCAAGGAGGCTCATCATAGGCAGAGTACGGATTGGGCACGGGAGTGGAATCGAGAGCGGAAGTGGAAATGACGTGAAAATCCTCAGTATCGTGCTCAGGAGGAGGCGCAAAAACGATGCCACGCCACGATGGTGGCGAATTACGAGAGCTGCTTTCACCGTTACAAGCATTACACCCGCTGATGTCTACTGTAGGAGGCTGGATCGCAGACTGAGTCTTGTCTTGCTGGGGCGAAGTGGTGCCATCGGCAGCCATCAGTTGACACCAGCTAAATGCATGGGGCTGTATGGGAAAAACAAGTAAAAGTGCCGTTATCCACGTTTCTAAGCTGCTGTTTCGGATGCCTGTCAGATAGCTCGTGCACAAGCATTAAAAAAATGTTTTGTGGTCTAGAGTGACTCCACTGGGCAAAAAATGTAGTACAGCTCAATGAGACAATTACCCAGTTTTACCACAAAGTCTGTGGTGGTTTCGATGAGTTGGGTTTAGCAGACGTCAAGCTTGAAGGCTTTGCTACGCGGAATTCGCTCACTCCCGGAAAGTCGCTGTCAAGATGGAACTTTTCCAACATTCATCAACTTCTGGAATTCCCCGAGGACGGTCTTTTTGATGGCAGGTTCTTTTGTTTACTCCACTACGAGAGCAAGCTTGCAGCTCAGCTGTGGGTGCTCTGGCACGTTTGATTTTTTAATGGGCGTCCAAACGCTTCACATCTCCAAAGGCCCGATATAATGATCGCGGCACATCATGAAATAGACGCCTTTAATACGCTCCGTGCGGGAACTATAGGGGGCGCTTTGAAAAACGCGCGTAGCGCCGCTAGCGGAGGAGCTGGTGTTCAACAGTGAGGCGCACTCAGCAGCCTGCGGCGCCTTTTTGCATGCGAAGCTGTGGCGGCGGAAGCGCGCAGGGACGAAACTTTTGCTTTTTGAGCCGATAAGTTGAGGGTGGCGTTGCATGAGTGCTGGGAGAGATTTAAGAAGGGCATTTAGCTATTCTCCACTTCTTATATATTGAGCTTGAGTCCTTATTAGGGGTAATTTATTTAGTTGTGGTCGAAAAAGGGGTTTGAGCAATTCTGGAAAAGCAAGGCGGCCGCCATCATAATTGCTCTCAGTGGGAAATTTGTTTCGCTCGTCGCTCGCTGTAAACGTAGAACTGCTGGGACGATATTTGGAGGCGAGTGAGATGTTCACTAAGTTTGTGCACTAAGTGGGCCAAGTTTTATTAAGACAGCAGGTGTGAAAGTTATGGTTCTAACAAATAAAGTAATAAAGCTGTCAGGAATATCCAATTTTGGATCCAAAATGTTGTGTTATAACCGGGCTGTGGGAAGTGCAGATTTGGACACACAGGTTCTTGGACATGACCGTAACTTGACACAACAGTTATACTACCAAAATTAGGTGGCATAGGGAAACCAGGTGGAAATTTGGTTTGGGCAGCGTAACTGAATGGGGAAACGGTTTTGACCATGAAAGGGCTGTGAAGAGAATACCACTCGTCGTGGGAGATGGAGACTTTACAGGTAGGAAGGGACTAGTGCACTGTACTTCCAATTGAAACAACTTTACGAAAGGTGGCTTCAAAGCCGAGAAAACCAAGCTGCCAGCCAACACACAGTTTGGCTGTCAAAGGCTTTTGCGGTCAGCTGTTGTGTAGTAATCTGGTTGTGCGGGGTGCTGATTTTCGGCACACAGGTACTTGGACAACCGTAACTTGAGAAAACACTTATTATACCTAAGAGAGGTGGCATAGTTTAACCAGGTGGAAATATTTTTGGGCGGCGTAACTAAATGGGAACCGGTTTTGACCGTCAAAGACTGTCGAGAATACCATTCATCATGGCCGGGAGGTGCACACTTTACAGGCAGGAAGGGACCAGTGGACGGTACTTTTAGTTAAAACAACTTTGCGATAGGTAGCTCTAAAGCTGAGAAAAAAAATATTGTTGTCTACAAGACTCGGGGTGTCAGCGTTTCCACATCCAAAAGGAGGCCGATCAAAAAAGAAAGCACACCACATAAACTTCCATTCTCAAACATTGATTGTCCATTGATTCCAAGTTTCATTGTAGTTTTCCTTAGATTAATATTTGTCACTTTTTGTACCCTCCGAATCTTTCTTGATGAAGTACAGACTGCGTGCCATACTGGTCCGGAAATATCATCGACACGTATGATGGGGACGAAACTTCCTTGGAGGGCATTCTTTCAACGAAATTCGCACTGCATACCCGCGAGTGTGGGATGGAATTTCAGTTCGAGCTGAGATATGTAGGCGTTACTGGTACGAAAACAAACGCAGAGCGCAAAGCGGCATTGCAAAATATGTCAGCCGTGCCGACACAGTGGCAGACATGATCGGGAGACCAAATTTCTCGTGTCGTACGGCACGGGTCCATTGTTGTCGCTGTCCTACAAAACATCGGCGAGGTGAAAAACTGTGAAACTTCTTCCCCACGAGATGCGACGCATAACTATTGGAGCGCTTAACGACGCAGCAGTTCATGCTGTGAACCCAGCGCAACCGCACCGCTCCGACTTCAATGCTTACCAATGTACGCGGCTTGGTTTCGTTTCGCTGGGGCTCTCACTGCCTACCTTCAGTAACGGGCGCGCAGCGGCGCGCCGGTCGCGTCGCACGGAGTGTATATTTCTACTTTTGTGTGCTTCTCCCATACACTTGCGTGTATTGCCTGGTGTCAAGCAATGGCCACCAATAGTGCCACTGACAGGCTCCCAATCGACTATCCAGCCTACTACAGTGGAGATTAGTGGTTACCCATGGAGGTAGAAAGAAGAGGAGGCGACACACCGGCACAAGCCAGCCAAATGAACAAATCCCAAGTGGAGTTGGAAGTAGTAGAGGTCGCAGTCGGTGGGAACGCCCCCAAGGGTGACCAAAACAGCTATTGGTGCCAAATCGGCTGTCCTTTCCGTCCAATAGTGTCTTGGTTTTGTTCATTTTTGGTCATCGTGAGGGGCGTGTCCCTTTAAACCGGAAGTCTAGCTCCCCCGGCTTCACCTTTGGTGGGGTCAGAAGCCTCCTACCTCCATGGGTTACACGATAGCATAAGTGCATTCAAATTTTTTTTTCTATTCTCGAAACCTACTTTATGAAATATGGGTGTGATTTATGCACCACCTAAAGACACCTCAGTGGAAAGTTTCATTACATTTTGTTTGTTGGCTTATTTGTACTTTTCTTTTTTCTGCCTGCATAGCGCTTGAGAACACCTTGTAGCCGCGCATATGAACTAGGAAGTTTGTGGGAAGCAGACAGTAATTCTTTCGCTTTTGGGTTCCAGTTCAAGCGGCAAGTGTACGCAAAGGGCTACAATAAGCACCTGGGCGACAAGCTGCCACTCTTCAAGACTTCCCTCAATTACTGGGACAGCCTGAAGCTTTCTTTTAAGGATTTTTAGAGACCTCCTGGTGGTGTCTGCACAGTGCTGGGAGAGTCTGCCTAGATGTATTTAAAGTGCAATTAAAGCTTGCACTACGACGTGTTGTCAATGTGTAGTTTCTCCCCATCTATTTTCCCCGTTTTTGAGCATACTAGATGCAGTCTTGTGGGAGTGTGGTGATCCACACTCCCACAAGGTGTGGATCACCACACTGGTGATTCAAATCTGCATACCTCCTTCGGTTTTTGCTTTGGCTTCAGGGCAAGCTGTTTCAATCTGAATTGGGCTTGCATGACTCAGCAGAAGGTGCATCTTGAGGCATGTGATGCAATACAGCCTCGGAAAGGTAGTTTGTTATCTTTCAAATTGGTGGTATAGATTGTTTATCGTGTACAATCTGGATCAGTGTCTTTTGTTGATTAGATCAAACAGTATGCTGGGTATATCAGACCCATAGAAGCATCAAATAATGATATCTGTTCTTTCTCAAACAAGCAAAACACGTTGCTTTGGAAATGTTTTACTCTGAATTGATGAGTGTTGGCCACTAGCTTTTCATGTTGCCAGAGTGTGCTTAAAAATGGTTTGCTTTTATTTTTTTTTTTGGCTGAATTTCCAGCACAAGATTTACTCAATAATTATACAAATAAAATGTAAGAAAGTACACTTTGGCCTAGAGCCATGCTCATAGCATCCACAAGCTCAGTTTGGCTTTAGTTTGGGTCAGTCTCCAGACACTGCCTGGTATGGCCCAGAAGCTTGCTGGCTGTTTAAAGTGACCAGGGTAGTAGCTTGATGTAGGAATTCTCTGCTCGTTGAAGTTGGTGGCAATATTGCTCCTTTCATTTCCCAACGATAATAAGCAGTCGCTTCGTCTTACTGCTTCACAATTGGTGCTTCCCACCCAACCTTTGCTCACGTCATGTTTCTTAGACATTGTTCAACTGACATGCCCCTTATGCGTGATGTGCAAGTCCTTTGCAACTGCAGAGACAAGTTCTAGAGTGGACAAACCAGAAGGTGAATGTTGAGTGTCTCTACAGTGACTTGTGGCAGAATGTGAATAATAGCTCAAGCAAATGTGTGCTCCCTTACACTTCCACATGTTCAATTAGCAGAAATGCATTTGAAACAACATTTGCTGCTGCCAATTTAAACAGAGCCACGCTGTTGGCTCTTGGGCTCTGCCTGTGGCCCATCAAGGTGTCACACCACCGTGTCAGCACCGTGCATATTACACACTTCACTCGGGGACATCTTTGTGTGGTGGTGCAGAGAAATGTGTGGGAGTGTGCACACTTGCTCAGCTTGAGCACAAGTTCTGCGTGCACACTCTTGTTCTCTTCACCACAGATTGTGGTCCTAGAATATGAGTCGACCCACGTGGTTTTCGCTCCAGGGCAGAACGTCGGACTAGCAAGTACTTTTCTTGATGTTCAGTAGTTAACTTTTTTTTTTCTCTTACAGCTTCTTTTTTTTTTTTGTGATGGTGGCTGCGATTATGTCCTCTGTGACCGATTCGTGAAAAATAGGGGCCACAAAGATAAAGGGTTTTACAATATACGAGGGGGAACCCAAGAGTAACTGGAACGAATTTATGAAGGGCGGGACGTTCCCAGTACCAGCTTCTGCCACTAGGAGCGCTTAGCGGCACCCCTTCTGAGTCAATTTGCCGAGCGGCGGCGTCTGCTGAAGTTTTAGTGGCATATTGTCAATTTTTTTCCTCAAGCACTTTAGAATCATTCTTTATTTTTTAAGTGTCTGATTTGAAAAACCTTCCACATTCACAAAACAATTTCCTTTCAAGACTTTTTTTTTCATACAGGCAAACAAAAAAAGGTCACGCCGGGCAAGGTCCAGTAAATACAGGGAATGGAGAAGCGGAGTCATGGGGGGGGCTATTTTTGTTCCAAATTTGTGACACTGACAGGGCAGTGTGTGCTGGGGCATTGTCATGATGGAACCACCCTTTTTCCCTCAGATTGAGGCATTCCTGCCTTACTGAGTTGTGCAAGCATCGCAAAATTCCCAGGTAAAATACCCAATTAATAGTTTCACCAGGAGGAACAAACTCCGAGTGAACAATGCCCAAATTTTTTTGGTGGTTTCATCAGTTGAGGGCCTCCCTAAATGAGGTTGGTCGTCGATCAATAATTCACTGGCCAAAGCGAGAAAACCACTCTTAGACATGTGATGTCTTAATAGCAGCTTCTTGGTAAGCTGTCTGAACCATTGCAAGAGTTGCCGCCGCGGTTTTCCCTAAAATAAAACAATATTTCACGGCCGTATGCTGTTTCTTCAAATAAGACATTGTAAAAAAAACAAGAAATGATTTTGAAGCGCTTGGGAGAAACATTTTCAACATGCCGCTAGAATTTTAGTATGACAGCACCGGTCGGCAAACTGACTAGGAAGCAGTGCCGCTAAGCGCTACGAGTGACCCACCCTTTAGGAATTCATTACGGTTACTTTTGGGTCCCTCTTGTATACCCGTTTTCACCTTAAGAACCGTAGTAAAAGAAGTCCAGCTTTCCACGGAGCATTACTAATTAGGAATTTGCCCCTTTATGTGGAGAATTCAAATACTATCGAGACCGCTTATAACGAAATAGTGGCTACAGCGAAGCAGTCCCAATTTCCCATTCCCTTTTGCACTTTGTTAAGCGAAGTCAGTTATAACGAAATAGCGGGTATAGCGAAGTGATTTCCGATTCCCATCGACTTCGTTATAACCGATCTCGACAGTATATGCAGGTGCACATTAGACTAGCAGCGATTCCATCCTGATAAAAACCCGCAACAATGCGCAAAATTGCGTGGCTGGCTGAATGCCACATGCAAGCCGAGCCACGGCAAAGTGAAGGACACCTAGTGACTGTTCTGTCAACAGGGGCAGGCGCTTCTTTTTGTGGCAAACACTTCTTTTTGTGGCAAACACAAGCCTTTCCGAGAACATGACAAAGCTAGCAGGCTTGAAAGACACCATGCAAAGGAAAAAAACATTTTTTTTAAAGCTGCCTGGACGAAAAAAAAAGCCGTAAAAATTTTACAAAAAAAAGGATTTTAGAGTTATAGTTATTACGCAAAACGAATTTGCAGTTGGCACCTGCAGGAGCCACTAATGGTCACATGGTAGACCTGTGCGTCTCTGCTGAAGACTTCAGTACCCCCATTCCGTCGCCATGCACTTCGTTTTTTGTTGCACTTCAAATAAGATTAATAAGTAACTTTTAGAAACCAAAGGAAGCTCCTGAAAGAGCGCAAGCACCAGATGACCATAGTGGTCAGTCACGTGACCATAGTGGCCACTTTTCCGCGGGCACCAACTACAAATTCATTTTGTGCAGTAAATATAGCTCTAAAGTTTTTCTTTTTGTTGGAAATTTGTTTTATGACATTCTTTTTCCATCTAGGCTGTTTAAAAAAAAAAGTTTCTTTTTTCTTTGCATATGTCCTTTAAGCGATGGGCTTTTGATAGGTCCTTTCTATAGAACCTTTCCGAAATTCAGTCTGGTCACTTTGATCACTATCATCATCATCTGAAAAATGGCATATGTGCTATACAAATTACATTTTTCTGTTTACTGATGAAGGAACATGGTGAATATACTCCTAAGCCAACATTACTAGAACCACTCAGTTGGGAAACTGCCATAAAGACTGCTCTGAAAAAATGACACCAGATTCATACTCGAGAAACGAGCTAATAGCGATCACAACGCCACCATTTCTTCCGCAGCGGCCACTTGAGGAACTCCACGAGACTTCTATTTTGGCTTTAATCGGCCATTTTGGCACTGAAACAGATACGGTGGAAGGGGTTTTCAGGGGTGCCACCCCCGTCTCCCAAGCGGATGCACCGCGAATTGCTACCCAAGTTAAGATGCGCCTAGGTTGGGACGTGCTACCTGAAATCACCGCTGAGGCAGGGTTGTATAAAAACAATATTAATTGTGCTGCAAAACCTTGCAAACTAAAGATTTTAGAAAACATCACACGCCCCTTATTTTGTACTAAACTCCAATAAAAGTTACTACAAAAAGAGCTTTTCCAGTTGTTTTTTTCGCAAAAACATGCTTTCCAGAAGCTCAAGGTGACCACAGTAAAGACAAATGATAAAGAGCAGCACTGTTGTTGCATTATGCTCGGTCTCGGTGGACGCCAGTGGCCCAGGTTTCGACGGTGAGTTTCCCAACTGAGGGTTCCAGTAACGTTGTCCTAAGCTCAGGATTCGAGGCGTACACATTTGAGACGTTGGCACGATACGAAGCAGGAATTGAATGCAAGAGCTGCGTAAGTGTTCCTTTTTATAACTCGGGCCCAGTCAATCTATAATTATAATGCAATTAAATTTAAAAAATTTATGTTTGTCCTTTGTCCCTCTTGTTCCCCTTCTCCAGGGATTACTTTCGCCAGTCAATCTGTTAGTAGCCCAGAATCCACTTGAAAGCCCCTTGATGTATAGAACTTTATCAAGGTGTCTATCTGGGTTGGAGTTTCGCTCTGACTGGTTGCATCTTTGTGGCCATCAACACTGAAAGACATGATCGAGAAAGAACTGTACAGTGAAGAGCACATTCTCGTTTGCCATTGACTTGCGAAAGTGACGGTGCCCAATACAATACTGCAGGCTAGAGGTTCATTGCCGCCATTAGTACGGCAAAAGCTACAGCCATCTCAGCCACCAGATGGCACTGAATTTCGGAAAGGGTTCATTAAACAATGCACAAAAGGTTGCACCAACAGTTGTGTCAACTTTAATAGAAGAAATATGTTTAGCAATTTCTATGAGATAAAATTTTTGTAGGTAAGCCCTAAGGAGACCAACATTACAAAATAAGTTTAACTGTCTAAAAAAAAGAAAAAACTAGGAATTTTTTAAGTTTTATCCAAATTTAGGTTATCGAGACATACACGTTTAAAATGCCAAAAGCATTGCTTCTTCCTCCGACAACCAAATCTTGTAAGAACTACTTCGCACAGCGTTTGAACAATGCGCAGAACTTCTTTTTTTTTTTAGGTGAAAACGAGTATAGCAGTAGAAACCCTTTGAATTGGCAAATAAAGCACTTCGTCATTTTCTTCCATCCCAGCTGCGTCAGAATTCGGGAATTCGGTGCAGCAACCATTGCAAGAAAATGGTCCGTTTATTTTGGTCCATCAGCCTGAAAACTCGTGAGTCTCTGAAATGGGAAAGATAGTACATCTGTACAAGAAAAGGAGTCACGCAAACAAGACTTTGGTAATGGTAAATCGGGCCGAGGATTTTTAATTTTTAAAAATATAGAACATTGCAAAAAAGATACAATCTGTACAACAAAAAACAGTAGCAGACCTGAGCGCACAACAACCCCCATTTTGTACCTCTCGCATGTGCGCACGCCCGCAGAGAGGCGCATCCCATGTGCTTTCTTTTTTCTCTCCCTTCCAAAGTAGCACGCACATACACACATACACGTGAGGAGAGGAAACCAAAAACAAGAATTTGCACAAAGTCCATAACAAACATAACTTATTCCCATCTCTGCTCTCCCACAGTCCATTCTCTCGCCTGCAACCCCTCTTGCCTCTCTCTCATAAGTATAAACATTGTCGACTATTTACAAGCTTTGTTAGTAACGCCGTGGTAATAATAATAGTATAGTTGCTCTGTGTTCTCTCTCTGCACGTCGGTTGCGCGTGATTATGAAAAATAACGGGGCACCGCTCCAGTATTTTCCCACTCGCTCCCGTTCGGCGGTTGCGAGTGGCGGTAGGGGGAGGCTCGAAAATAACTCTGGCCACGTGCACGCAGCACTTCTCTCTAAAGGCTCAAATCTGCGTAGACAATGATTCGACGGGTTTCGCTCAGAAAATACCGGAGGAGGACACATGCGCTCGCCAAAAGTACAGACACGAAGAAGGGGCGGGGAAGGTGGGCATAAACATGGCCAGCGACGGCTCGACGCCGCTCCCTAGACAAAAAAGATCACCCATGCTACTTCCGGATCTCGTCCGACACCTTTGAGGAAAACGCCACTTGCCCGCCGATTCTGCAGTCAGGTTCGGCCTCATTTACGCAGCAGCTCGACTACACGGGGAGGTCGGGACACAAAAGACACGGGAGGCAGTTTTGAAATGCCGCACGAAATAAATTAGGAACCAGGACGACTGGCACGACTCAAGAGACGAGGAAGACACAAGGGAGGGGGGGGGGGCACAAAAGCGCGTCGTGGCGGCCAAGAAGGTTCCCACGAGACACGACACGTAGCAAACAGGCAGAGCTACCTTCGGGAACGATAACAACGGGAACAGTCGCGAGGGGGGGGGGGGAAACAAAAGGGGAAAAATCACAGCATTAGCCATCATCGAGGTGTTCACAAAAACGTGGGAACGTCGGCCCCTCCCTAACGAAGAAGCACCTAAGGAACGCGGGGAAAATAGAAAGATGGGAGAGCAAGCACACCAACAACCGCTACCGGACACAGTACGGAAGGGAGGTGGCAACGAAGCTGCAAGAATTACACAAGGACAGTCACAATCCTTCCTAACCACACTATCGGGGCACCATTCTTCTCTCCCCAAAAAAGTAAGTGTACAAAAGCATTACCCTGAGGCCAAGCCAAAATGTCCGCAAGCCCAACCCACGTCCACAGAGGGCAACGACGACACGGTAGGGCGACAACGACACGGAGATGTAAGGAGACTGTCTTTTGGGCAATGTTGCTGGTTTCCAGGCGTTCACTAAAGGGAGATGGGAAAGCATCGATTGTCTAGCAGGGGGGAGGAAATGTCACGAAACCAAAGGACTGCGCTAAGATTCTGCCACATCTTGTCTACTGTTGCACTCGTCGATACTGCACTCCTGCCCGTACAAACGTGGTGCCACCTGAAACCGTTCCTTTGCAGCCCCCGCGACCCCAGCGAATATTTCCAGTTCTCTCGGCTTTGTCCCACTGGACCAACTGATGGCAACTCCGCCTGCATACAGAGTTCAACGGCACCACCTGTTGACAAACATGCTCACATTTGACGACGGTCGACGACGTCAAACTATAGCGAGGTTCGCCAACGGGGAGGTTCCATTGGGCATGCAGGCAAAGTTGGCAGACCAGTTACCGCAGCGAGAATAGACCGTTAACTTTGCCCCTGCCTTTGAATGTCACATTTGATGGACACTACCGTCCACAAAGTTTTCTAGCAATTGTTACGCAACTGTGTCGAACCAAAAACTGCTCCCAATCGTCGTCCAAATCTACTCTCCTCGACGACTTATCCTTTTCTGGTGGAGGACCAAGCTGTGACACGCTCACAAAGAAGTAGTACTTCGACTCTTACAAAATCAAAATGGCAGCAGCTGTATACAAGTGACAGTGACAGTAGCTACGGTGGCAGCTCTGAAATGGCAGCAGAAGATTCTGGCCTCAAAAGGAAGATCTTCTTTTCTCTTTCCTCTCTATTATTGGTGGACGGAAACACAGTGTGGGGGTTCGCGATGCGCCCGTCCCCCAGGCGAGGGAGCCACGCTGCTAAGGCCGGATATCGTCTCTTAAGAGAAGGAATCCTTTTTGAGCTTTCAGATAGGTTTTCCTGTCGTGCCATAGTGTGCATCTGAAGGATCTGGCTTTAGCTTTAGCACCATAGGTCCATCCGCAAAAATAGAGCTTCGCTATGTTTGGTCAAGGCACAAGGTACCGTCCAGTTCTCTCTGCAGTGGCCCAGAAACTGCGGCTTCCACACGTCCGGGGACAAGGCGCTCAGTCCTCCTCTTCATCACAGTCACGGCTCTCGCCGTAAGCAGAACACACACAAAAAAAAAAAAAAAAAAAAAAAAAACATCTGCGAGCTTGTTGCAGTGGAAAAACACGTTCGAAGGGGGGGAAACGCAACCAGAAAACGAGTGGTTCCTGCCGTTCGTGGCTGTACAATTTTGGCAGATATCTCTGCAACACTAAGCGGCCTTGCAAGTGGAAGAGATCGGAACGCTGGGTTGACGATTTCTCCGGCTAGGATGACTACATGTCAGAAACCTCTTCCACAGACTGAAGATGCAACTTTGAAATGTGGAGCAAGTTTCGGGATCGTTGTCGGAGATCTCCGAAAGCCTAAAACAGCCTCCAACCGAGCAGTCCTTTGTCGAGTCCGCGTAGTAATTCGTACAAACCTAAAACGACCGTAGCCATGTCGAACATGCAGGAACGCAGGTTCGCCGGCAACAAAAGCAAGGAGAGCGACGGGCTCGAGAAAGAGGCGCCACAAAGGACGAAAGGGGCTTGGAAACCAGCAACATTTCCACGGCGAGCGCTTGGAGGAAGGACACTCATCTGTTATCTCTCACTACAGAAAAACGAGGCATCCTTGGCTCTGGTTAATAAGGAAACTCGCAGCAAAGAACATAGCGCCCTTGGCCACGACAGTGTGTGCATCGATGTATCTCCATGTTTCAATATATTCTTATGAATAGTATATGAATATTTATATATAGGTGTGGGCCCTCTTGAATCTGCGACTGGCGTCCCAGCCGCCTCACCTTGTTTCTCGTTACGTCCTCTCGCCGGTGTCCTTTGCATTTTTCGTAGCCCGGAAAGGCTTGGGGGACTTCAAAGCCTAGCAATAAATATCCCTCGCAAGCGGTACAAAAGCCGCGAAAAAGAAGAACAAACAAAAAGATGCGACACATATCCTACCTGCGTGGAATTCACCAACAAAATATGCCCACATTGTGCATTTCACATTTCTTTCGAAAACGGCCTCTAAAACGTAAAAACCCTCAAAGAAACAAATAGGATGTTGGTTCTTAAAACGATGAGCAATCGTCGGAGCAGGGGCGGCAAGATCCAAGCTACATGTCCTTTTTTTTTTCTTTCTCTTTTGAAAGGGGGCAAATTTCAACTAAGACTACCGTGTTCCCAGATGCACGAATCGCACTGTGATCGCTGCAGAGATCATGAAACTCTTATGAAAATCAGGTACACGGGTATGTAGCAGAGCGTGAACAAAAAAGTGTGCGGCTTATAGAAACGAAGGGTCGTAATGGGTGGTGGGAAGCAGCGAGTCGATGACGGCGTTAAACCTAAACTTTGTCTTTGTCTGTTTCTTATTCTTTAAGGTTTTTCATTTCCCATTGCTGTTGAAGTAAACAGGACTTGGATCCTTCCCGCCCGCGCTTAAAAATTGACAATGAAAGCCAGCCGGTGATAAAACATCCTGCGGGTGACTCAAACACGCAGAGAGGTCAATTGGTGTCCGCAAGGATGGCAGCGACCCGACCCTTGCTTGGTGGGAGAGAACATGGTAGTCGTCAAAGCAGAAATTAGTACTCTACTACACTCATGACAGTGTGAAGCACATGCTCATATCGAGAAGTTCCCAGTCAATAGAATTTTTCAGAGCTAAAAGAGTACTAAACACTAAAAAAAAAAAACACTCAGTTTTCTTTTTTATACAGTTTTCACAGCACTGCTGCCTACCTTGCTTTTCGTTTGCGGCATGGCCTGCCGAAAAACACATTGCGCTTTTTCCCGTCGTTTCCCCGCTCACAACATCCCTTCCAAACACCTTAAATCGAGCGGAAAAAAAAAAAAAAAAAGAAGCACCAGTGATGTTGCATGTGATGTCCGCGCTGCGTTCCTTCGATTTTCCATTAGTATGTGGTTCTCGCTGCCCCACTTTTCCTGTCCCTTTGAGATTCAGTCACGAAGACGGGAGGGCGGAGAAGTCCAGACGGTCCGCGGAAGCCGAGACCTCCGGGGTTTGGCCGAAGCACGCTGCCGCCGCTTGCAACGCTCGCGCACAGAACACGCACACACAGGTCCCACTTGCTCCGTTGCCGGCAACGTCCAAGTCGACGCCATCGCTGTTTGCGCATTTCTAGTCCGTTTTCGTTTCATCGGTTTTTGTTTTCTGAGATCGGAAAGTGCTTCCTATGCAAACAGATGTCTCTGGTGGGTTACTTGGCTTTCTCGCGCTTGTGTGGGCCCCCCTCCTCTTACGCCAGTCCTTTTCACCGGTAACAAACTTTGACCACCGAGACGCCTCTCTCTCTCGTCCCCTTCGTAGGCATGGCCGCCGCTGCTGCGGTGTATCCCACTGTCACACGCGATTATGTACACACGCACACGCCTCGATGTGAAACGACGCAGACGGGACGAGGCATGCCCTCTCCGACGGGCAGAAGCCGACGAAACAGATACGGACACATCGGGGGAGGAGGGAGGGAGAACAGTAGAGCCAACGATGATGAAAGAAAACAAACAAGACGGGAGAGTCATTTGTACAGTCATTGTCCAAGTGTTGTGCGTTTTCTCACTCATAAGCAAGCCCCTGTCGCGCAGGCCGCAGAACGCTGCCCGACGACGTGCAGTTGCGACTCCGGCAGCTGCCTTCACTTCCAAAGGTGGCAGGGAGTGGGGCGGGATGTGCAAGCACAGCAAAACAAAAGAAAGAAAAAAATCCCCGCGATTTTCTTTACGCCGTGCGCTTCCGGGCACGACGCCCAATCCTCTCGCTGGCTACGGCAGCCTGATCACATAGAACTTTGTCCCAAAATCGTTCTTTCCATTTGCCCCCCCCCCCCCCCCCCCCCCAAAACGCCAAGAATCGCATTGAGAACTTGCCCATTGTTCGAGTCAGCAAAAACGTAAAAGGAAGCGAGATACTTATGTTATTTTGTTTTTCTTAGATAGTCCTACCTAAATGAAGGATGATGCGATGCATGAAATGATAAAAGCCCTCGGTGCAAAAACTTTCCAAATCCAAAGTATATAAAAAAGAAAAGAAAAAAAAAAGATTGACGGCACGACGCAATACCCAAACTCTTCCCTTACTTTGTCTACATTTTTAAGGCACTTGAACGAAGAGCTTCCCCAGTTTAAAAAGAAAAAAGGCTGTAGCAGCAGGGCCAAGAGAATGGAGTTGACAAGAAGTCCGATAAAATTGTGCTGCGAGACGACGGCTCGTTGCTTCGGCCTCTCTAAAAACCTAGAGTGGGGCGACCAAAAGTCACCCCGAGAGAGCAACCCGTGAAGGTGGGCAGTCAGACAGCGGCAGTCAACGATCTAACCTCTCCGACCCGGGGAGGTTGAAAAACAAAACTCTAAAACGACAAGCATGGAATGAATGCACCTCTGTGGCAGCAGCCCGCGTCGACCGATCGCACCCCACCCGACTGGGCAGAGGGAATCCCATCTCCTCTCCCTGCCACCTTGCCCTTTCCTTTTCGATCCTTCCACGATTCGTCGTGTGACACTCCAAAATGCCCCTCTGGAGGTTGTTTCTGTGTTGGGTATTCTTTTTTTTTTTTTTTCACGGCACAATTAACTTAAAAAACACGATGTAAGAGGGGAAAAAAACATGAAGTTGGGTGGTTGGGGGGTTTGTTGTGGATGGCGGTGCCGATCGTTCTTCGTATCACTGCAACGGCGGACACACGAGACGCAGCACCGACCGTAGTCGTCGCCACCACTCGTCGGTTCCCCTCTTCTTTCGTCGTCGTTTCGAACCCTTCTCTCCCCAGGAAACCAACGTTGGCCGATTCGACTTTGACCGCACCTGGCCGCCGGCATCGCGCCGGGCGAGACGCGAAAGTTCCGACCTCGCCACGAGTCCGGAAGCAGACGACGATGCGAGCCAGCCGCGCGGCGTCGAAAGGGAGCTGCTGCTTGTGCGCCGGGACGCTCACTCCTGGATGTCCCAGATCTCTGCGAGGAAGGGGGGCAGCTTCTTGTTCTGCACCTTGAGGGAGAAGCACATCTCGGCGTTCATGTTGCCCAGGGTGCGCAGCTCCGTCAGGATGGACAGCAGCCGGGCAAAGTAGTTCTTGCCTGGCGGCCGGTGGTTCTCAGAGTACATGCGCAGCGTGTCGATGTAGTACTCCTGGATCCGCTCCACCTTGTGTGGGTCCACCAGGCAGGGGCGCTCTGCAAGACGATGAAACCACCCTCATCAAGCGAACGGCCGCGGGAAGTTCCAACAACCTCTCGAGCACGTCAGCCAAGCTTGAGTGCATTCTATGTGCTTCCTGGTACAAACGAAACACGAACAGCGGAGCATGTGGTCTTCGATACATGCTGGGCTATTAGAGGCCCCAATAGCTACAAATGGAATGAGAAGGACGGGGCCGTGGGCCGAGCCTTCTTTCAAAGGCCCGGCCTTTGGCAAGTGCATGATGCTTTTCGACGTGCTTTGGTTGCGGATGCATGCTTAGCGCTTGTGCGATACAAAATTGTTATCGAAAGTGGCAAACTCTTGCTGAAGGTAACTGAAACTCCTCCCTGACAGCGACTGGAGGTTATAAAACGGCGGAGTCGAGAATGCGATGGTGTGCATCTACTCCAATCTGCACACACTCTACTCCACAATTTGATCGGTTGCTGGGGCCCCTAGGTAGCGCAGCACTTATCGAAGGCCATATGTTCTGCAGTTGGCCTTTCATTCCTGCCCGATAGTACACAGCACAACACTGCTAGCGTGAAGAAGCAGTCACCTAGTCACCTTCATTTATTATTTTTTTGTCTCTTACAATTTTAGGACTGTCTAAAAATTTACTAGTGAAGGGGAAAGTAGTCATTTGAGGCACTTACATAAGCAACAGACGTAAAGCGTGAAAATTCACCGATTGAATGTTCACGCTAACAGTGTCGTGCGTTGTGCATCACTTCCTGCAACTTTTCTGAACCAGGGCCAAGAAACTCTGTCACAAAGCTCTCATTCGAAGCTTGTTGGAACAATACTGGATTCACTTCCATTTTGGATAATCAGGGCACATGCCTGGGTAGTTACTACATCCAAGCACATGGGCAGAATTTTGATTTCTAAGGGTGTGCCAATTTTAAAGAACACCACATTGCTCTATTCTCAGCTACAATGCCAATGAGGTATACGGTCCATCCCTAGTGTTGGAGGCAAGGATACGCTGTGTAGTTTAGCGAGGAAGTGTTTTTGGGTCTGTGAAGGGGGTATGGACGTGTATACAAGGTGATTTTTGTCGAATAAACTTCAAAGCTGCATTTGAGACTTTGTTGTCCTATCCATTTCTTTTTTATTATTATTCCTTCGTGGAATACTTGCGTTTTTTCCCTATACACAATTGTCACCTGTCTCACCGCAAAGTCATGCTCTATAAACTGAAATCGTTTTGCTACTTTTACTGTCTGTACAACATGTCATATGATACGAAAGCGATGTGATGCATCATCGTAAATAGTCAAGAGTCCAAGCTGCAACAGCTGCCAAAGCGCACCAGGTGAAATTTTTGTGTTTTCAGCTGACTGCTCGTTGCAGTAGCTCATGGTGACAGGGGCTGAAACTATGGTGCTGGAACACATCTCCGTCTGGCGTGTTTACCGCGCCGCCGGATTGCGGCCATCTTCCAACTCACCGGAGAAGATAACAATGGCGGTGAGCAGGGCATACTCTGCGTTGTCGACCCGCAGCTGGCACATCTTGCGGCAGAAGCGGAACAGGGCGTCCGCAGAGTCCCCCACGCTGGCGCTGCGGTAGTTGTCCCTCGTGTACGGCTGGTTGTTGGCAAACACGATAGAGTCCGTCTTGACGTCGTACTTGCGGGCGCCCCTCAGCATCATCACCTCGCTCGAACACGCCTGCGCCACGAGGGAAGCAGGGTCGGCATGGTGAGAGGGTGCACTTCCACCGGTGCCGCTTCCCGATTTCCCCTTCAGGGACAAAGGGAAGCGGAGCTCCTGAACCGAGACCCTAGTCCAGAGGACCGATTTTGGTCACCGTGTGAGCGAAGTCTCCCACAGAGCAAGCCAAGCTATCACTGGCGGATGACTCGTCTCCTAATGCGAGTAAACAAAGAGGCTCGTCTGCTACAAGGTGTCATTCCTGGACCGAAATTAAACGAGAAAGCGCCTAGCGTCGTCTGCTAACAGAATCGAAAAGGAAAGAAAGTGGACTGCCTGCTACGAATTGAGTCCTGCAGACACAAGATAAAAAGCCAGCTTAAAAATGGCTGTCTGCTACTGCACAAAGAAGGCAACTGACAATCCACGCTTGCTCTGCAAATCTCAGGAAGTTTTGTTGCCTTACACTTGCTGAAGTCTACAGATGGATAAAGAAACGCTTAGTACGAGCACGTAAGTGGCCACGAGACCTCTCTCACCATCCTGGTGCAAGTCAAAGGTTCTCACCAAAATACTACCCGGTCTTGGACTTGCGAACGAATGCAAAAATTTCTCTGGTTGACAACGCTCATACAGACTAAAGCTGTGACATCTTGTCCAATCGGGAGCCAAGGAAGCTCTAGGGGCCCGAATAGGGCTCCAGATGTCAAGAAAAGGTGGGGTTCCCTGCAGATTCCGAAACATGGATGCGGCCGAAGAGGCAGGCCTACCTTGAGCAGCGTGATCTGGTCTTCCCGGGCGAGGGTGTCGAATCCGGGGACTCGTTTGGAGAACTCGACAATGAGCTGCACTGTCAAGATGGTGATCTCCGTGATGTGCTGAAACCTCCGCTGGTTGTCCTCTTCACTGTCACCCAGCGGAAAGGGCTGCACGCAGGGGAGGGGGTGGTTAGAGCCACGAGCACCGCTCCAGATCACTGTGCTCATTTAACAAGACCGCCCCAAGGAAATCTAAGATGCGCAGAAGAGAAGCCAGTTTTTAGGCTCATTCAAACCCGTGGAACGAGCACCATGTGGCTGCATTCGTATGCACCAAAATCAGTAGCTTTTACTGAAATCTGCTGAACTATGCAAATAACTAGAATTTCGTTCAGATGCACTAGATGCCATCTACACACCATACTTTTCCCACGCTAGTCCAATTGTCCAAAAAAATCCTCGGATTAACTATAGTTCGGTGCAACCCTAGAAGGTAGGGCGAGGGTAAGACGGGCCGGGGAGGGGGAAGCAGACGGAACGCTAAAGAGAGAAGGTTTTCTCCTCTCTTGTCCATCGTTCCGTTTGCTTCCTCCTCCCCGACTTGCCTTATCCTCGCCCTACCTTCTTGAGTTGCAACGGACTACAGTAATGGAAAGAAGTAGAATAAAAAAAAAAAAAAAAGACTCCAAGGGGAAGTACAAAGTACCCACAACAACCTTGACATCTGAATTTGTCATTTCTTAATCCTAGCCTATCAGAACGGCTCAAATGATTGGAGAGGCCGTCCATTAACAGCGAAACAAGAGGGACGACAACAAAGATAAAGCCCCCATTAAACAAAAATATTAAATATAAGGTGATATTCAATGACAATGTCAGAAACATAGTCATATTCAACAACGATGTTGGATAAAGTCAAATCAATGCCACAGTCAAAGATGTAGTCATATTCATTGACACTGTCAAAGATATAAAGCCACATTGAATGAGACCGTGAAAGATGTAAAGCCATATTCAATGACAATATCAAAGATAAAACCATATTCAATGTCACAGATAAAACTATGCTCATTGACACTGTCAAAGCTAGAGCCATGTTAAATGACGCTGTTCAAGATAAGGCCACTAGCAATCCTCCGCGGGAGGAAGAAGGGAGGCCTCTCACCGTGGTTTTCTTCATGTCTTCCTCGGAGGGGGACTCAAACTCCTGCTGGTAGTAGACTAGCTTGTTGATGAGGTCCTCCTGGGACGATGAGAGGGGCTTCACCCCGGGGCTGAGCACAAGGGGCTTCTTGTCCTCGGGCTCCATAAGCTGCACCACGCTGCTGCCCCCTCCGCTGAGGTTGTTGCTGCTGCTACTGTTGCTGTTGCCCAGTGGCATGCCGCCCCCCATCCCCGACGGTGGGGGGGGACCCGGGGAAGGCCCCATCGAGGTGGCGGGGCTCTCCCGCGTCGTGCTGTTGGGCCGGTCCTTGTCCTTCTGGTGCTTCTTGGACTCTCGCTTGATGGCACACTGGTACTCGGGCACCACACCTGCACGGTCGACGGGGCATCAGCCACGCCGCGCGGAGGAGCACCTGACTATGCTCGGTGGGCCAAGGTTGGGTGTTTTCAATCGCTCGATTGGGGTCGAGTCGTTTGTGCGCCACGTTTACAATATGAGGTGCAGGGTGGAGCAAAAAAAGTTGATTGTCCACAAACGTCTCAACTTTGCTCGGCCTCTCCTCAGACCACCCTCCTTGCCAATTGATCACACCAGCATGCGCGCAGGCACCCAATTTGCGCAAGAGGCGTCTACCGTAAACGCTCTCCACGGTTTAAGTTGCTGTCTCTCTTAAATCGAGGATGCTCAGTTTCACTTTATGCGCGAGAGTAGCAGAAGCTGCAAGAAACAAATTCGGAGCTTTCGGCCTTGCTGACGATCGCGCGCTCGTGCAGTGCAAGCATGTTTGGGGCAACATGCTCCGTCATGCTTTTAGCTTCGGCTTTGCCTGCACATAAAGCGAAACAAACTATCATAATTTTGATGATAGCGTTTCGACTGTAAGAGAAACATAAGAAAAACGACAATCGCTCATTTGTGCTGTATCATGCTCCGTATATCAAACCGATCAACATTTTTTCAGTCTTTTCCCGAAACACTTGAGACTTTATGCAGCCACCTCTTACGACGCTTGCTGCTTGTGTTACGAACGTGTGTAGATGTTTTGTGCATATTTTACCTTGGAGAAAACAAATATCTGGATGGTGATTTAAAAAGCGCAAATGACTAAGAAGAGATGAAGGGGACAGGACAGAGAAAACAAAGCTGCATGTAAGAGAGAAGAAACAGAAAAACCAGCTGTCTTAATTCATTGTTTGCTATATGCAGCATGCTCTGTCATTGCCACTTTGAGCCTTGCCTTTTTCTTTTTCTCCCGCAAGTGACAGTCTTGCTTTACCACCTGCCAAAGATCATGCTCAAGTCCCTAATTTGACCTACTTCAATCGTCTTTTTCTTGGGGAGGAGAATTTAGTAAATATGGTGACTCCTTCCTCGTTATTCTCGCACACCACCAATGTGTTCAAGAACAATGCCAGCTATGGAAGCCTGCAACCAGTGAGGCAATGGAGGGTCACAACTCACACTCTGGCCGCATTCCGACGCTGAGGCACTTCTTAAGGCGGCACTCCTGACACTTGCGCCGCATGTACATGTCGATGTCACAGTTATTGCCATACTTGCACTGGTAGACCGCATTCTTGGTGATGCTCCGCCGGAAAAACCCTGGGGCACAGAGAAGACACCAACACAAACAGTTATATCACACTGTGTTAAGGCAGTGACAGGAAACCAAGAACACCACAGGAAAGCAAGCAGTGTTTGAGCAGACAGTGCTGGACAGACGCTTGCAAGGACAAGACAATGCAAGTTGCAGAAATCATCTTGCCACTGACTCAACACTTTTTGGAGGTGACATCTTTCTTCCATTTTAACCACTGTCCGTCGATTTCAATCGTGAGAAAATTCAGAAAATGTGCGTTTTCATCAGAACACTCACATGATAACAAACAAGTTGAAAACAGAGCAGCAATGCAACCTTGTTCTCCCTGTTTGGTTCCTGTCTATAAGTGCAGTGAGCCACGCAGCAACTCAAGCCAGTACCTTACGCTCAAGCAGTGACAGTCACAGGATCCTGATCACTGCCAAATCATCATCATCATCATCATCATTTATTATTCCTTGAAGGCCCAGGGGGCATTACACAAGGGAGTGAACACTTAAAAAACAAACAAGTAACAAAACTATTTATCTACGAAAACACGCTGTAATCTAGTTATGGGTTAGAAAAAATAAGCTAACGGCTGCAGAAAATTTCTCAGTATCAGATAAGGTAACAATTACGTCAGGCAGTGAGTTCCAGTCGTCAACGGCCAATGGTAAAGTAGACATTTGGTGAGTGACGGTTGACGATGAAATCGGACGGAGTTTGCAAGAATGGTCGAGACGAGGGAAAATGCGGTAAGGAGGTGATAACAAACTTTGTCTGAGATGACTGTTGTAATAAAAGATCCGATGAAGAAGAGAAAGACGAGACACCCTGCGGCGGTGAGAAAGAGTGTCAAGGTTAGCTGATTGGCGAAGTCCTGATATGCTTGCGTATGGGGAATAGTCGGAATAAATAAAACGGAGGGCCCTGCTTTGAACGGATTCCAGGTTGTTAGTTAGGTATGCCTGCCACGGTGACCAAATGCTGTATAATATGACACTTGGCAACGAAATCATTAAAAGAATGCTGTTAATAGTCTGCTTATTTCTTATCTCTGCTCGTCACACGAAAGAAAGCTAACTGTCCAAGGACTGCATAAGAGAGCATGTAGTGACAGACGTCACTGGGACAGAGCTGAGGCCATTGACTTGGCAACAAAATCATTAAAAGAATGCTGTTAATAGTCTGCTTATTTCTTATTCTCTGCTCGTCACACGAAAGAAAGCTAACCGTCCAAGGACTGCATAAGAGAGCATGTAGCGACAGACGTCACTGGGACAGAGCTGAGGCCATTGAGTTTGTTTTGGCTCCCACTCTGGGCAGGAGTGCACATCTCCAATGCTCGCCAGGTGACACTGACCAAAAGCACAAAGGGCGAGGGAAGAGCAGCTACCTTTGCAACCTTCGCAGGTAAGGGCATTGTAATGGTAGCCAGAGGCTCTGTCTCCGCAGACGAGGCAGAGTTCCTCCTGCTGTCTCGGGGCTGGACCTTTCTTTTTCTTGGGGTCTCCGAAGCTGTCCGCATAGTAGCCATTCATGCCACCACTGCTCGGGCTCATTTCCTCTTTGCCTGCAACAGGAACAAGACAGATGCGTAAGACACTTCTCTTCTAGATGGAACACCACATTGCTTGCCAAATGACCCAAACATATCCGTGAGCAACTTTCAGCTAACGGTTTGCCCAAACATGTGGCAAAGGGTAGGTGTTTTTACGGTGTGCAATGGATGCTGTTATTAAATACAGACAAAAATGTGTTATCAGTAAACTGTCTTATCAATCAATGACACAGCAGGAAACAGCAGTATGTGACCAAATGCAAAGATAAGTTTATTATGAAAAAGTTTTGGCCGGCTACAACCCAACAAAATTCTAAGCCAAGATTGTTTACAGAAGCACCTACATAGGAGTTTTCCAAAAACATCTACGAAAGACCCAGTTTTTTTGTTTCTTCTAAATATTATACACAGCATACTGCTGTACCAACTTTAATACATGCCGATTTTTTTTTTATTTTAACATTTGCAGCGTTATGTGGAATCATTTCTCGTTCTCGGTTACAGTGGGACTGAACATGAAAAAGCATTACTGATAGCTAGTTGAAGGGTAAACGTGATATTGTTGTGACAAGCTTTTTTTTTTTCTTTTGATTCCAGCATTGTTATTTAGGACATCTGTCACTGTGCTAAGGGTGTTTATATTGTATACCACGATTCTTCACTTAACTGAGTATGCAGTGTTACTCAGGTTTTGTTGATTCCACTGCATTCTTTTATGTATCTTGTTCTGTCTTGTTTTTTTTTTGTTCTTTTTTTTCAACTTAGTATCTCCAGATCTGCAGGAGGCTTAATTAAATACCCCGCACAATTTTCTACATCAAAATAAATATGTAATGGTTGATCAAGAGAAAAAAAGGAACAAACAATTAAAAGGTCATATCTGTCTTATGGAACCACATGCAATGCCATGATAGGTCAAAGTGATACTTAAAGCACCGTAAACTGAGAATGTATAAGGATCGATTGCGGCTGCTGAACACTATTGTTTCGATGTGGCAAAACCCCAGCGAGCTCCCATCTGGAGCAGTTGGATGAAGGAGGGGCATATGATCTTGACATCGTAAACCTGGCAATATTGTTATAAGCTCACCGTATACTAAAAGTTCAAATAACAATAACAATGGAGCAGCTGAAATGGAACCTGACCTTCACAAATAATAACTGTCAACTCCATGTGCAACAGTGTGGGACATGTTCTTCTGCTCAGTTTCCTTCTTCATCTATTTGTCACGTTCACCTCGCAACGCGCAAACTCTCCTCGAAAACAATGGCTGCTTCGCCCAGTGCTGGCCTTAACCTTTTAGAATGTTAGATCCTTGCAATGACAGGCCCAAGAAAAGGCACATATAGAAATTCTCAAAGGGGAAGGACGGCTGGTGAGTCAGTTGGATGGTAAACAAAAAAAAAGTGTAAATGAAAGCCAGAGGAGCTGCACAGCAACAGGTTGCCTCACACATAGAAATGTCAAGCCTTCACTAATGTGGACGTTCGGAATGTCGACTCGTTCCTTTCAGCACGATGAAAAATGTCTTCAGCTGGCATTTATTGGTAACTGATAATGCTAAGGCTCCAAAAAAAAAAAAGTATGGGTAACAAGATGTCATTTACACGTCTTTGGGCAGTGTTTGTTGCTGCAGTGGGGACGAGGTCCTGATCAATGATAAAAAACACAAAATAGAGTTGTGAGTTCAGCGAGGTGTGTGTGTTGTGTTTTGTGTCCTAAGGTCCTGATCAATGATAAAAAACACAAAATAGAGTTGTGAGTTCAGCGAGGTGTGTGTGTTGTGTTTTGTGTGTGTGCTACTTGTGTGTTGTGATCGGTAAAAGAAATCTCTTTGCGAGTGGACATCCAAACTGTGTTAGCAGTAACTGGAGGTGTCGCAAACTTTGGTTGACTGGTTCAGCTAAGCTTCCAATTTTTAGCAAAATTCCATGAAGTTTGACGTATTAACAGTATATTTCTCAACTGCTGCAGAAATTTGTTTCTGAAAATTTAGGAACAAATAACTTGCATTCTACATTTTGTTACATTACCAGTGTCTACACAATACACGGTTCTTTTGTTTTTTTAACCTTGAGAAATTTTGAAAAAAGGCAGTGGAAGCTGCATTTATGCAGTTTTTGCAGGCGAGTTACACGGACCGGGGGGCATAGTGTAGAGGGCTAATCGCAACGGCCAAAGGGATAATTAATTAAAACCTGTTAACTGTTTAATTAGTGAAAATAGACATGTTCCCTATTGGAAACCTGCTTAGTGTCATTGGAAACCACCATATCAATATTTAGAAAGGATATGAGCGCCTGAGGAGTGCAGTAGTGCGCCAAAGTCACCACTCGGGCAGCAGGTGCAAGGCTGGGGCCATGATAAGAGATGAAAACAAAGTGTGGGCTTGTTATTGCACCTGTAGCTGCTGCACAAGTGGTAACTTTAACGCACTACTGCGCTTCTCACACGCTCTAAAAATGGATTTAGTGGTTTTCGAAGATGCTCAGGAAGTTTCTAATTGAACCAGATGTTTGTTTTCACTAATTAAGAAGTTAATTAACAATTTTACTTCATTTGTTTTAAATTTTAACTGAAATTTTACTTAACTAGCCAAATCATTGTTATGATTAGCTCCCTGAACTACGTCCCCTTGGCCCTCACCTGCACAAACGGCATAAGTGTAGCTTTCACGGCTTTTTCAAAAACAAATCTGTTAAGCTTAAGAAAAAAAACAAAAGAACTCTGTATAAAAGCAAAACATGTGTACTTTTAAAGCTTCGCTTCAGAAGCAGATTTATGGGTCGGGCCTGGGGGTTAGTTGACTTACTTGTTATCTCACCGAAAAATAACCATTTCTTCTTAAAAAAAAAACTGGGGTCCTAATCTGTACGGCGGGATCCAGCCCGCCACTGCAAAAGCTGGCCGACCCCTGCTTTAGTTGGTTTATTAATGTGAAACAATCGAGCAATATAACCCATAAATGTAGCACTCTGCCTCCACTAGGCAACTCGTTTTCGATTTTTGCGCATGCGCACAGAAGTCAAACTTTTGTCGACCTTATCGGTAGAAGCTCGAACCTGGTCGAACTCGGACTTTGGCAGGCTCGCGACATGGCGACGAGCGTTCTGCAGGGTTACCATGTTGAGCTATAAATAGCCCGATAACCAGGGAACCGAAGGAACACTGTTCCCATGATTCCTCGAGTGCGGGCCGAGGCGCTTGACGGATCTAGCGAGTGGTCCACTGAGCTTAGTTTCGTAGTTGGCGGGAAAATCTGGTGGTTAGCTATCTGGCAATTATTGGGCTATTTCATACAGGAGATTCAAACTATTTCAAAACACTTGGTTTCAGAGCCTTAAACGTAGTGTTTTTGAGCCAGGTAAGAAATAAAGATAAATTGAAGCATGTAGAAAATGAAACTATCCTAATCGCAAGCGTGAGAATACAATAAGCGGGCCCTCAGTGGTGTTGGTCGTGGAGACACTATCATTTATATACAAAATACTACGGTCTAAAAGTTTTTTTTTGTTTGTTTTTTGCAAGTTTTTGTGCTTCGCCATTGCATCTGGAAACTAGTAATGTTTTATCATCTATTTCGCATTCTTTTTGTAAATACACGTCTAATGTCACATATTATATTGTCAGTGTTCCAAACAAATGTTTCAAATACCTATTATGAAGATCTATCATTTGGGCTATTTTTATAGCCCGACATTTGGCCACTTTTGGGCTAAATCTCGCAAAGAATTCGGCGCGCTAACCTGCGAGCACCTGGCAACCTTGGCGTTGTGAGGATGCACTAGGTGGCGCAAGCTACCGCTCGTTACGAAGGGTATAGCTAACATCTATCCATCCATCCGAGCCGACTGGTTACGGCATCCGACGAGTGACCGAACATGTATGGGGGTTTGGCCACCCTCGAGGGACAACGCTAAAATAACCGCGTTCGTCCTTGGACGGTCGGGTCACGCAGTTACACGCGCCGCCTGTTTCAGCCTCGGCAAAAGTGGAAGCGACGAGAAATAAAAAGAGGAGCGAAACCGGAGTGGCCCTGACTTTTTCAGCCCGAGCACAGGGCAACCGGAATGGAACGCTACATGGGTGAAGGTGAATAGGAGAGATTCAAGGGCAGCCCAGCCAAATGGGTGCTTGCACACGTCAAGACGGCCGCTGCAGCAAACTGTTGCCAAAACAGCGGGCATCCTTTAGCGGGAAACGAGGTCAACGGATGGGATGTGCCGGCGCACGAGGAGAATCACCGTCGGACAGGTCTGTGCGATGGTTCCGAAGTAGTCTATATTTGATACCAATTTTAATAGAGAAATCGGTCACGCACGAATGTCATGTTTGGTATTTCTGGGTGCTTAGTTGTGACAGTAAATAGACTAAGTGGTCTAGTGCCCCTCTAACCTTCAACAGACCACAACAGAGTGTCGCTACACGCGTGTACAGCGATCTCTAATCTTGCGTACAGTATACACTTTTCGAAACTCCGTTGTGCGCAGATAAAAGATCGGCACAGACACCTGCGACAATAACCTCCCAGTCCGAGACTAAGTTTTTTTAGAATGCATTGTTCGCGTCGTCCGCCGCGCGATCCGCCTTCGCAGCTGCGTCTTGCCGCGTGCTCGGGACTGCCCGAGTGACGCGCCTCACTCTCGACCGAACCAGCCAAGAACATCGCGCAAACGGCCCTTCGAAACGCGGATAACAAAAAATGAACAAGTAAAAGGGCGCCCGGTTGCATGTGTAACAGCGAGGCGGGCCGCTGCCATCAGGAAGGCCACAGCGGCCGCGGGAGAGAGCTATCGCGAGTTGGGCAGACGGCGGCGAAGCGAAACCCCATCCGCTAAACATTGCGGGAGAAGTCAAGATTCACGATAACGTGTCACGGAAACCAGTTAAATGTATTCTACACGAAAAGTTACTTGGTTTTCAAGGAGAACAGTGCTATTTCTGCAGCTGAAAGCGAGAACATAGCAAGATGGCGGATGAACTTCGTCTCACCTTAGCATGGACTATTGTT